TGGGGGGCAGCGGTTCAAGGCAGACCACCAGAGCCAAGGCTATGACAGGAACCAGCAGACCTGCTTCAGGAGCCACAAGAACTACAGGTACGATTGCAACCAAAGCTACGACTGGCACGCGCGGAATTACGACAGCCGGCTACCAGCTGTGCTACCCGCGCTACCATAAGTTCATCATCCCGAGGGAGAAGCTCATGGCCGAGCTTGGCGCCACGAGGCGGGAGATCCAAGCGCTGGCGCGCGTGCTTTGGGGCGGAGCCCGCATGACTGACGAACGTGGATGCCTTGACTCCGCTGCGCCGGACGGCTCTGTCGCGGGTGGCATATCTCATTTTTACATTGAGACTGCCACGTGACAGCCCGCTCGCGTACGCCAGCACCTGGGGTCGCCTGACCGGCCTGGAGATCCATCCCTTCAGGTGGCCGCCGAGTCGGCCATGCGCGGCGCAGCTTTACGAAGGGCTCTCTCGAACATACACACTCAAACAAATATACGTAGCACCCCGCAGATGCGGATAAGAGTGAAGGGGCGGTTTGGACGTCGGCAGTTTGCGAGATTCTGGAAAAGCCCGCCACATGCGCCAAAGTTCCACACATTATACAACGAACTCGCCGCGGGCGCCGATTTTTTCGTTAAGCCAATGTGGGTAGGTCGCGGGTGGGTCGCGAATGGGTTGCGGGTGGGTCGCGGGTGGGTCGCGGGTGGGTCGTTGTTGGGTCGCGGGTGGGTCGCGGGTGCAGAAGGCACAAAATCCACCCTTTAAGAATCACCCCCAACAAGCGAAGCCGTTTAGTAAACGCACACAAGGAATGAATCGAACAGGGCAGGGCTGTGCAGTAAACGCCCAGGGCCTTCCAGAAAAAGTCAATTGTCGGGTCCGGGTGGTTTTTCTTCCTTTGAGGGTGGGTCGCGGGTGGGTCGCGGGTGGGTCGCGGCGTGGGTCGCGGCGTGGGTCGCGGGTGGGTCGCGGGTGGGTCGCGGGGTGGGTCGCGGGGTGGGTCGCGGGTGGGTCGCGATGGGTCGCGGGGTGGGTCGTGGGTGGGTCGCGGGTTGGGTCGCGGGTGGGTCGCGGGGTGGGTCGTGGGGTGGGTCGAAGGGTGCGTCGCGGGTAGGTTGCGGGTGGGACGACGACAATAAACAACAGCAGCAACATCAACAACAACAGCAACAGCAGCAGCAACAACACCAACAGCAACAACAACAACAGTAGCAACAGTAACAACAACAATAACAACAACAACACCAACAACAATAACAATAATATTACCAATGCTAGAAGAAGAACAGTAACAACGATAGTAATGCTGATCGTAGTAGTAGTAGTAGTAGTAGTCGTCGTAGTAGTAGTCGTAGTAGTAGTAGCAGTAGTAGTAGTAGTAGTAGTAGTAGTAGTACTAGTAGTAGTGGTGGTAGTAGTAGTAGCAGTAGCAGGAGTAGGTAGTAGTAGTAGTAGTAGTAGTAGTAGTAGTAGTAGTAGTAGTAGTAGTAGTAGTAGTAGTAGTAGTAGTAGTAGTAGTAGTAGTAGTAGTAGTAGTAGTAGTAGTAGTAGTAGTAGTAGTAGTAGTAGTAGTAGTAGTAGTAGTAGTAGTAGTAGTAGTAGTAGTAGTAGTAGTAGTAGTAGTAGTAGTAGTAGTAGTAGTAGTAGTAGTAGTAGTAGTAGTAGTAGTAGTAGTAGTAGTAGTACTAGTAGTAGTAGTAGTAGTAGTAGTAGTAGTAGTAGTAGTAGTAGTAGTAGTAGTAGTACTAGTACTAGTACTAGTAGTAGTCGTAGTAGTAGTAGTCGTAGTCGTAGTAGTAGTAGTAGTAGTAGTAGTAGTAGTAGTAGTAGTAGTAGTAGTAGTAGTAGTAGTAGTAGTAGTAGTAGTAGTAGTAGTAGTAGTAGTAGTAGTAGTAGTAGTAGTAGTAGTAGTAGTAGTAGTAGTAGTAGTAGTAGTAGTAGTAGTAGTAGTAGTAGTAGTAGTAGTAGTAGTAGTAGTAGTAGTAGTAGTAGTAGTAGTAGTAGTAGTAGTAGTAGTAGTATTAGTGGTGGTACTACACCGACGTGACAACATATTATGCGGTTTTATGATTTGATGGAATATCCTATCCCCCTGAATATTCCTAACATTGACATGCGTCCTCAGCGATCCCGCGGAGTAATTCGTCTACCTCTAATTAATAACATTGATATCCCAAAACAGGGTCGGAAAATATTCCGCCCATTCCTATATGGAAAATGGGACGGGATGCATGCCCACGCGGAGTAATGTATACTCCGCCCACTCCGTTTACTCCGCCAGTTTTGAGTCATGTTGACTGAAGACCGCATAATATTTTTGTCACGGCAATATAGTAGTAGTGGTAGTAGCAGTACAAGTAGTAGTAGTAGTAGTAGTAGTAGTAGTAGTAGTAGTAGTAGTAGTAGTAGTAGTAGTAGTGGTAGTAGTAGTAGTAGTCGTAGTCGTAGTAGTAGTAGTAGTAGTAGTCGTAGTCGTAGTCGTAGTAGTAGTAGTAGTAGTAGTAGTAGTAGTAGTAGTAGTACCAGTAGTAGTAGTAGTAGTAGTAGTAGTAGTAGTACTACTACTACTACTAACAATAATGATAGTACTACCAATAATAATAACCATTAAATCATTAATACTATCATACTACGGGTAATAACAACACCACCGCAGGAAACGTAATTCTCACCACGAATTCCGTAGTCAGCCACGCACCCAGGGACAATGAATGACCGTTCTGCCCTCTCACTCTGACGAGTCTGATTTCGGAGCCACCCAAACATGCTAATATTAGTCGTGTAGTCATCGTAGTAGTAGTAGTAGTAGTCGTAGTAGTAGTAGTAGTAGTAGTAGTAGTAGTAGTAGTAGCAGTAGTAGTAGTAGTAGTAGTAGTCGTCGCAGTCCTAGTCGTAGTGGTAGTAGTAGTAGTAGTAGTAGTTCTAGTAGTAGTAGTAGTAGTAGTAGTAGTAGTAGTAGTAGTAGTAGTAGTAGTAGTAGTAGTAGTAGTAGTAGTAGTAGTAGTAGTAGTAGTAGTAGTAGTAGTAGTAGTAGTAGTAGTAGTAGTAGTAGTAGTAGTAGTAGTAGTAGTAGTAGTAGTAGTAGTAGTAGTAGTAGTAGTAGTAGTAGTAGTAGTAGTAGTAGTAGTAGTAAGTCGTAGTAGTAGTAGTAGTAGTAGTAGTAGTAGTAGTAGTAGTAGTAGTAGTAGTAGTAGTAGTAGTAGTAGGAGTAGTGGTAGTAGTAGTAGTAGTAGTAAGTAGAAGTAGTAGTAGTACTAGTAGTAGTCGTAGTAGTAGTAGTAGTAGTAGTAGTAGTAGTAGTAGTAGTGGTGGTGGTAGTAGTAGTAGTAGTAGTGGTAGTAGTAGTAGTCGTCGTCGTCGTAGTCGTCGTAGTCGTGGTAGTAGTAGCAGTAGTAGTAGCAGTCGAAGTAGTAGTAGTAGTAGTAGTAGTAGTAGTAGTAGTAGTAGTAGTAGTAATAACACTAATGATAGTAATACCAATGAAAATAGCCATAAAATCATAAATATTATCATACTACGGCTAATAACAAAGACAACGCAGGAAACGTAATTCTCACCAGGAATTCCGTAGTCAGCCCTGCACCCAGGGACAATGAATGACCGTTCTGCCTTCTCACTCTGACGAGTCTGATTTCGGCGCCACCCAAACATACTAATACTAGTCGTGCGTGGTCTTGCAAGCCAGGCTTTTCCCCCAACATGGTGTTGAAACTTGTGCGCATCTGGTGTTTCCGCTAGCTCCGTGCGCTCGGTGTGTTTTCCGAGGTTCGCGCGGGGGGGGGCCCAACTACGGTTCGTCCGTGAAGGGCGGGAGCCAAGCTGGAATAGACCAGCCCAGATGTGAGCTATACACCTGCAGAGTGTGAGACTGAGCGCTATCAGCCGAGATAGATCGGGGATGGTATCTACTGAATGGGTGTCAGATTTGGACACAGTCTCATGTGCGTCCCAGCGCGAAGGAAAGAAATGGGCTGCTCACCCTTAGAGCGCGGGCCAAAACAAGCCAGCCAGGGCTGGAGCTGTGCCTGGGGACAGTACGGGCCCACGAAGCCTGGCCCGCACAGCTGCCCAGCCAGGGCAGCATCACTGGAGGGCCTCGGCCCGCGTAGACTGCGGGCCAACCACAAATGGGCCCGCAGATCCACCCGCTCCAGGCAAGCACGGAACGGGACTGGGCACGCGGCGAGCGCGGGCAAGACATTGGGCCCGCGGAGAGTGCGGGCCCAAAGGACAATGGCCCGCACAGTCGTCCTTCCCGGGGAGCACCACGAGGGGGACTCGGCCCACAGCTCGGGCCCAAAGCAGTTGGCCCGCGCACGCTCTGCCCACTCTCTAGGCAGACACGGCCCGGGGCTGCGCACGCGGCGATCGCGGAGCAGAAGACACCGGCCGGGGCAGGGAGCGCGCCCCCCCCCCCCCCCCCCCCAAAATGGCTCGCACATCTGCCCACGCCGAGCACGCGGAACGGACTGGGCACGCGGACAGTACGGGGCGAGCCTGGTTTCGCGGGCCCAAGGCAAATCTGGCCTGCTCATCTGCCCACGCCGAGCAGACAGCAAGAGCTCTGGGCACTCTGGGAGCGCGGGCCACAAGAAGGCGGGCAGGGCTGTGATTGGGCCCGCGGACTGTGCGGGCGTGCGGGCCAGAACAAACATGGCTCGCACATTTGCCCGCTTCGCCAAAACAGAGCAAGGGACTGGGCACGAGAGGGTGAGGAAGAGAGAAAGAGAAGAGAGAGAGAGAGAGAGACAAACAAAAAAGAGGGGGACAGAGAGAGAGAGAGAGCGATACATATAGTGAGAGAGAGAGAGAGAGAAACAGAGGGAGAGACAGGACGCCGAGCAGACGGAGGATCGGCTCGATTGATCACGTTCTCATTCAATTTCGGGTTGCCTTTTGTTGGGAGCAGGAGGATGAGGAGGAGGGAGATGAGGCTGATGATAAGGAGGAAGAGGAAGAGGAAGGGTAGGGTGGAGGAAGAGAGAGAGGAGGAAGAGTGAGGCGATGTACGACTCCGTCGCCGACTTCTGAGGGCAGTGGACGCCCCGGCTGCGCCACGTTCCCCCTTGTGGGGAGAGGGGCGCCGTGAATCACTTGGCGGCGGGCGGCTACAAGCTGGCGAGGGGGCTGGGTGGCGCGGCGAAAGCATGACGGGTATTTTTTTATAACTTCGACCTGCGGGGGCTCTCGGGCCTGGGATCCTCCAAGACGGGCCCGCGGCGAACACTCGAACCACAGGATTGGGTGGAAGGCTCTGGGCCCACTTCGTGAAACATGATGACGTCGGAGGGCAGGGGTGTTCGGAGGGCAGGGGTGTTTGTTCCCGGAGAGCTCTCTGAGAGCTATAGGGTTTCAGATTAGAAGCCGGACGGTGGTGGTGCCCGCAAGCAGCTCCTCCACGGCGCTCCAGAATCGTCGCAGGGGCTTGTTTGAACCAGCAGCTGGTCCGGGAGCGCTTCCGGCACGCGTCCACGCGTGTCTGCACGCGTGCAGGCACGCGTGGAAGCGTGCCTGGTAGCGCTTCAGAAGCGCTTCAGGAGAGCTTCCCAGAGCTCGTCAGGAAAGCTTTCCAGAGTTGCTTCTCCGGGTTTTGGACGCTACCAAGTGTGTGTGTGTGTGTGTGTGCATATCTGTATATTACCATACGTATATACGTCTTAGTCAGCATGGGCCCCAAACAGTGTGCTTCTAGCAGCCATGTGGTGCAATCGTGTTGCAATCTATGTTGTGCAATCCACTCTGCGGAACTTGAAGTCGTCATCTCCACTGCTCTCGCAAACATCCCACCCACCCACCCGCAACTTGGTTTGCAAAACCTGTTAAGACCGACTACGACAACACCGACGACAACGACTAGGACGACACCGACGACGTCTCCGACGACTTCGACGACGACAACGACGCCGACGCCGACGACGACGAAGACGACGACGACGCCAACGAAGGCGACGACGAGGAAGGAGGAAGGACGACGACGGCGACAACGACGACAACGACGAAGGAGGAGGGAGGACGGTGACGACGCGAACGACGACGAAGGAGGAAGGACGGCGACGCCGACGACGACAACGACGAGGGAGGAGGGAAGACGACGACGACAACGACGACGACGACGGCGACGACATAGGAGGGACGACGATGAGACGCCGACGACGGACGACGACGACGACGTGGGAGGAGGAGGAAGGACGACCACGGCGACAACGACGATGGAAACGACCACGACGCCAAAGAGGACGACGACGACAAACAGGAGAAAAGACAGAGGACGACGTAGGCGACGACGACGACGACGCGGGAGGAGGGAGGACGGACGACGACGACGACGACGACGCAAGAGCGCGCGCGCACGCTTTTGTTGAAAATCCGTGTTGCGAAACCTTGGGTTCTTGTAGGTTTTTTGGACGCACGATTTTGAAATCCTTCCGAAACCGATGGGTTTTGAAGGTTTTCGGCATACGTCCGCGACGACGCGCGCGTCTGCACTTCGTCCAGTTTTTTGCAGAGGATTCTCGCGACGGCACACGCGCAAGGGCGTTCGACAGATTTCGACATGCGCGCGCGTGAAGCCCGTGTGGTAGATCTCGCAAGAGCTCGCGCGGAAGTTTTTTTAGCAAATCAGTGTTGCGAAACCATGTGTTTTTGTATGTTTTTCGGAAACTCGATTGCGAAATCCTTCCGGCACCGAAGGTTTTTGAAGGATTTCGGCATGCGCGCGCGACGACGCGCGCGTGTGCACTTCGTCCCATTTTTTGCAAGGGATTCGTGAAAAAGTGTTATGTTAGAAAGAAAAATGTCCCCGCATAGTGTTATTTGACAGGGAACCGCAGGGGGGGGGATACCGGCTTGGCTGGGATGGTATGAATTCATATTCAGGATGGACATGTGGTCATAATCATATGTGATTTACAGCACGCGCGGGGGACCCGATAAGTCCGGGGGGGGGTAGAATTTATTAGTTTTTTAGAAAGGAGAATCTATGTAGTGCTGTTCACCTGACCGAAGTTGATGTTGTCAACTCCATTGCTCGCGCAATCATCCCACCTTCCCATCCGCAACTTGGTTTGCAACGTGATAGTTTCTTATTCACTGTTTTGCCGATCGGCGCGGGCCCTCGTACCGCCCCTCCCCCCCCCATGGAGTAGATCTTGGCTGTTTTTGGCGCCTGTTCCGGGCAGGTGGAGTCTCCCCCGTAGGACGCACTGTTGCAAACAGTCGCGTTAAGCAGAGGTCCGGAGCCAGACACCCCCCCTCTTCCGCAAGGCTTGGCGCTATGGCATGCCCGTCAGACTGCACATCTGCCCGGAAAACAATCAAAGCACGCGTGAAAGAGTTGCCAACGCTGCGTCGGAAGCTAGAATTTCTGCTGCAAGTGCCGATGTTGCACCGCTCACCGATGTGGCACCCCTCCCCCCTCCCCCCCATTCCGCCCAACGTCGAAACGCCGAAAAATAAAACGCTCACAGCACCCGTGCTGCGGCGATTGCGACGATTGTTCGGCATCGGGTGGCGCATCTCTGCGGCCGCGCTGGCACGCCCGAGCTCGCCCGCGCAGCGAGCGGCCAGCCAGCTCGGCGCAGCCGACGCGGCCGCGGTGGCGCTGACCGCTGGGGGCCTCCCAGTGCGTCTCACAGGCCGCGCGGGCGCTTCAGTGCGGTCGGTCATAGCTTTGGGGGGTCCAGCGCGGATCCGAGAAATCCGCTCGGACCTCCGAGTTTTCATGTTTACGTCATTCGTCGTTCCCCTCGTGGTCTCCGTACAACAAGAAGAGCTCGTTTACCTATTCATATTAAAAGGCAAGCAGAGCTGCAACACGCACAACAAATCCTCAACACGCTCAACACAACGCGCAACAAGAAGTGTAACAAACATGCTGGTGTGCATGCTTCCAATGAAGACGCAACGGGGTCTGCGCCGACAAATAGTGCAACGAAAGTGTTTCCCCCGACGCACGGATGGGCATGGCGTTTTGGTGCGCACTTGGTATTTGCGTTTTTGTGTTTTTGTTCCGCTTTTGTTGGTGGATTCTGTTTCAGGGGATCCCAGTCGTGACGGTCGGTGGCTCACGCGGGCGCGGTCGGTATCATAGTGACGTCGACAACGGCGGAAACGATGATGATAGTGGCGATGATGGTGACGATGGTGACGATGATGACGGTAATGACGATGACGACGGCAAGGCCAATGACGGTGCCGATGTTGGTCACGCCGATGACGATGATGTTGTCCATGTGTCGCGGATGAAGGGTTTTGGAAGGAGTTCGATTTGAGCGCGCGGCCGACGCGCATTAGTGGCCCGCGTGCTTTTATTTGACACGGATCGTGCCCGCCCAACTAGCGCGCAAGGGCATTCGAATGATTCCCACATGAGCGCGCGAGGGCCCGCGTAGTGTCACTTGACCAATAAGTAAAAGCACCGATGGTTCTCATAAGAATTCGCAAGGGCGCGCACATATTTTGTTGACGGGTAATGTTGGAAACCATGGACTTTTCACTGTTCGTGAATTTTGATATCGAAACCCATGCGAAACCTATAGCTTTTGACATATTCCAGCATTGGCGCGCGACGACGCGCGCGTGTGGACTTCTTTGATTTCGCAAGAGATCCTTGCACAATCATATGATTTGATCAGCAGGTGTGCGCGCATAGGGGCACTTTTGGATGAGGAGGGGGCGGTAATGGGACTCCCTGGGATGGCATGAACTCATATTTCAAGTCAACGGTGGGGCATACTCATCACTTCAATGCAGTGTCCCAAGGGGGGCCGATGAACCAGGGGGGGCAGAGTTTGCATTTTTTCCGAAATGAGAATCTACGATGTGCAACGTGACGGGCGACGACGAGGCGGTAACGGGGCGGCGACGGCGACAACATAGCCGCCATACCGACAGTCAGGTCCAGACGACGGGCGGCGACGACGCGGCGACGGCGACGACATAACAGCCAGACCGCCAGACAGGTGCAGACGACGGGAGGCGACGACGGGGCGGCGACGGCGACAACATAGCCGCCAGATCAACAGCCAGGCCCAGCTCCGTAGACAACAAGCAAGAACCCGTCAGTGCAAGCACTGTTCGGGGAACTTGTCTACAGCATTTCTACACACCTAAACGGGGAGGGAATTTGAGGTTCATAAACCGGGACCTCGAGCCTCCGAATTGGGACTGGGGCCTCCCAGGGCTCTCCCGGGGTTGATGGGTCAGGAGCGCTCCCATACGTTCACCGTAACTTCAAGACAGCCCTGATGGCCCATAAGACCCCCCGAGAGCGTTCCAAGAAGATTCTCAGAGGGCCTCGAGAGGCAGAAAATGCCCCATTCCTTCAGCAAAGGGTAACTTTTAGCGTCTTCTGGCTGTGAACGCAGTCCTAGACCACCCAACCCTCGAATCGTCCCAAGTCGGCCCAAGATACCGCCGAGACGGCCCAAGAGCGCCCCGAGAGGGTTCCAAGAGGGCCCAAGAAGGGCCCCAAAATGTTCCAGAAGGTCCGCAAGAGGCCCCCAAGAGGCTCCAAAGAGGCCCCAAGAGGCCCCAGGAGGCCCCCCAACGGACTTCAAAGAGGCCTCCACGAGGCCCCCACGAGGCTCCCAAGAGGCCTCCAGGAGGGCCAGCGGTATGAACGGGCTTGGCCAGGGCGTGCCACTCGCGCCAAAACAGGTTACAGGCGGTCGACGGTGCACCCAGCTCCAGCGTGCGCCGCCCCGTCTGGGTGCCCGGTAGCGGACGTCGCCGACGAAAAAGCAGACCTCACCCTCTGGGTGCTGAGCTTCGTAGCCCTGCGCGGTGCTGCCCCAAGCCAGGCAGTAGCAAGCCTCGGCCAGGTCGTCGGGCTCGGGGTGTTCGTGGGGGGACCAGTCTAGCTGCGCGGCAGTGGGGCAGGAGCGACGGACCTCCCAACTGCTGGCGTGGAAGGCGGACGGCTCGTCCACGAGCAGAATGGCGTGGGCGAGGTCGTGGCTGCTCTCCGAGGGCAGACCGCCGAGAGCAGGCGCCATCGCTGCCCGCGGCGGCCAGGTTGACTGGGGGAACGA